AGTCAGAGGATGTTCTCTTCTGTGAAAGGAAGTAACATCTGTTATCTGGGTTTTTCCCACGTTAAAACAGTATTTTTCTCACCAAAAATGAAGTACTATTTGGTGACATTATTTTAACATTATTAATAAAATATTAATTTAGACCCAGGGGCCTTTCGGGTCTCACAGAAGCGACTAGTGCTCTTCCTAAAGAAATACTGCCCTGATCAAGAATATGTCTTTTGGCTATTGTCTATTATGCTCATGACACAGTTGCCAGGTTGGACCATTATCAAATTTGATACATTCTGTTAAGCTAACATTCCAAATGTTATGCAACAGACTGACTGAAAATGTTTATGAAAATGGTTGGGAGGCTGGATCTGCAGAGAAGTTGGAGGACAGGATTGACTTTGCCACTTCAAAGCCAACCATTTTCAGAGGTTAATACAATGGGTTAAACCTAAAGTTTGAATTGCAGCTGATTGTGTTCCTGATCATATCATCTGAACATTAAACAACCTAGCTGTACCCAAATAGAAAAAAAATTATTTTAAAATAAATAATTTTAAACAATTTATGCAGATTTTTAGAATATATGCCTTTGTGGGAATCAAATTTAAATAAACAAACATCTCCAAACCTGATACCGAATATAGTTACACACCAACCGACTGCCGATAATCAATTGGGCTAGTTTAATGCTAATTACTAANGTCTATATGATTCTCTAATGAGTCAAATCTGTTAAGAAGATGCATAATGACTCTATGTAGTTTTTGATTAATTTAATTACTATAATCTAATTTTAATCTTAAGATTGTGAATAAATCTATAAATATGAATGTAGGATAAAATTAACTAGAGACTGTTAGGGAACAGATGCTAAATTCATTTTTATTATAAACTCATGTTTATTTTTGCCAATTAAATAAGTCAAAGGTATATCAATTAATGGATATATACAGTAAAATAGGTAATTTATAAAATACTTGATTTTAAAAAGTTTTTCTTTTTGTATTTGGTATTTTCCTGATTTTAGTTTTGCAAACATAAAATCGTACAGGTTGGTTATAATTAAAGTTACCCTACTCAGATCTATATAGAGCTTGTTCTCGTTACCATATTTTGATGATATTTGGTATATATGTTATATGGACCATGGGGAAAAGAACATGCAAAAAAAAATATTTAGTTCAAATTTCTCCACTAGGTGAAAAAATGGCACATGAAGAACAAGAAACACAAAATAGAAACATACAAAAGGTTTTTCTTTACAACATTTATTCAATGTGCAATCCTTTTGCATCAATCACATGTTCAAAGCACCTTACAGTGTGTTCAACAGTAGCACAATAGGTTTCTTGCAGCATCATGGTGTATTATGCTTACTTTCAATTCAGGCAGAGTTTGTATGTCTTCTCTATAGACAATCTTTCAAATATCCCCACAACCAAAAGTCACAGGGATTCAAGTCTGGAGAATGAAGAAGCCAGGCATTCACTAAACTTCTCAAAATTACTCGATCACCTCCAAATTTGTCATGAAGCAGTTCTATCACTTGTCAGACAATATGTTATGTTGCCCTATCTTGCACGAAAATAGTAGTCTCTAAACATCCTCGTTTTTGTAAAGCAGGAATGACGTGATGCAGCAGAAGTTTGCAGTAATGGGCACCTGTCATGGAACACCTTTTAGGGTCTTGGGGTGTGATCTCCTTAAAAAAAGGGGGCCAAGAAAGAAGTCCAAAGTGAAACCACATCAGATGGTGATGTAAGTAGAGTGCAGAGGCTATTCATGCACAATATCAGGTCTTACAGTACCCCCATATGTGACAGTTCTGAGTATTCACTGCTTAGTTTAGGGTAAAATGCTCCTCATTTGACCACAAAATGTTCCTTGGCCATGCATTGTCAATGGCTATTCTGGCCAAAAACTGACAAGTTAATTCTGTGTGTTATTCTGGATCTTGAGGGTGCAGCTTTTGCATAATGTGGATCTTGTATGGATACCACTGTAAAATGGATTACATAATTTTTTGAACCGTAAACCAAGGAAGAGACAAATCATGTGACACCGCTCAAGCACTTGCTGAAGAATGTTGGGAAGCATTTGCTCTGTCAATCACAGCAACAGTGACTTGCTCCACAGTTTCATTTGAAATCCTTCTCTAACCTCTTCCTGCAATACACCAACTCTTCAGTCTCTTAAAATTTGGCAATCATCTTTCTCAAACCATACCCTGACATAACCCTATTCGCAAGCCTTTCAAATGTCGATATTCTCGCACTGCAGCCAAACTATTACTGTCATTCGGATAAAACAACTTTACCTGTAAAGCTCGATCTTTCTTCTGTAAAGGCATGATAAAGAACAACATTGACTACTGGCTTTTTAAAAGATTTCTAATTTGCATAGCATCTGCTGCATGTTCCATTTTTTCACCTAGGGGTAGAAATTTGAACTAAATATTTTTTTTTTGCATTTTCCTATACCCCATGGTCCATATAATGTACATACCAAGTTTCATCAAAATATGTCAATGAGAACAAGTTCTATATAGGTTTGAGTATGGCAACTTTAATTATAACCATCCTGCATTTTATGATTAGAAATTTTTTGGTGTAAATAAGAAATGATTATAATCAGTTTCTTTCAAAGTAATTTTTATAAGTTTTGATATTTGTATTGTATGTGTTTTGTATATGTTACTGTGAATGACCGAAATCTGGCGAATGTCAACATTCTCTGGTGAATGTCAACATTCACACAGTCGTTTCGTGTATGTCCGAAATATTTGCTAAATATCGTTATTTCTCACTTACACCGGCAAATGTTGACTGTTGACACTCAGAATGCACTGATGGTGAATGTTGAATAAAAATATTTTTATTACGTTAAGACAAAAATGCAACTTTTTAATATGTCAAAATAGGAGAAAGCTTAAGTAATAGTACATGTAAATAAACTGTTGAACCTAAAACGAACAGTACATTCTA